TCTCTCTCTCTCTCTCTCTCTCTCTCTCGCTTTTGTTCTTCTTCTTTTTTCTTTTTCAATCTTAAAATCCGACTAGACTATCCTCATTATCTTCCTCTTCCTCTCCGACTATCTCCATTATTTTCCTCCTCATCTCTAGTTGTGAGTCTCTCTTCTTTCTGAACATGTCGACATAATATGAGTAAGTTATAACATCTTACTTATAGGCTTGGGGCAACATAGAATTCATTTGTGGCAAAAATTGGTATATTTGTTTCAACATATGATGTATCTGTGGAAACATAAGATTTATATGTGGCAACTAAAATTTCATGTGTGGCAATAAAGGTACATATGGGGCAACATAATGTTAATTTATGGTAACATACAATCAATCTGTGGCAACAAAATGTTAATATTATTTTATAATGAATTGTTAACTCTCGATCTTTTTTATTTACCTTGTGGATGAAATGATACAAGAAGCTTCATCCATGACAACAACATAATCGTTTATTGGTCTTACTTCCACTTCTAACATCAAATGTTCTCTTTGTATATGCGAAGAATGTGAGCAACAACATTATTATTTTATTAGTCGTGTTAAAGAACTCACTCATATTTTAAAGGAATTGTCTCATAATATAGATGTCCAAAGATCCATGAATAATTCACAACCTTTTTTAGTGTATGAGGTTGAAAAAATATATTTCCCAAACACTTTATATAATTTGTGAGAATAAAGAAAAGGAGAAGAAGGAAATGGAGGAGAACGAGAAAGAGAAGAAGGAAAAGGAGGAGAAAAAGAAGGAGTCGAAGCAGAAGGAGAAGGATAAGGATAAGGAGAAGGAGAAGCAGAAAGAGAAGGAGGATAATGAGAAAGAGAAGGAGAATCAGAAAGAAAAAGCCAAAGCAAAAATACAAGAAAAGAAAGTCGAGGTCGTCATTTGTGATGTGAAGTGACAATATCCATTTGAAAGTTTTAACATTGACAACGAGGGTCCAACTGAACTAATGGTAGGTTTCTCGCAATGGATAAATAAGGGTCTTTACAAGCATCATTCAAAAAATTAAAGTCGTTAAACTATTATTTGTATTTCTTCTTGTTGTCCATTAAATAACTCTTTATAATGATTACATAACTGCAGAAGAGAAAAGGATGATCAATAATTAAAATATCACTCGAAACTTTGATTTGACCAACTTAATTTTGTAGTTGCATTTCCAAAGAATAAAGAATTGGTTCTACGTAATGACTCAACCCCATAAGTGATGGAATGATGTGGTAAATCAATGTTCGATTTTATGTTTTGATAAATACATGAATATATACAAATAAGTTGATACATAGATACACTTGTTTGATGCATTTGTGCAGTATGTTGATGTCATTTTTTACTATTTGCGTAACAAGACGAAGCAACAGAGTCATTCTAATTATCGATATACCACTACTAGTTGTTTTTTCAAGACATACATTGACAATGCTAATGTTGTTCATGAATATGAGGATAAATCGTCGGCATTATGAAAGGGTTTGGTATAGCTTGTGGGCTGACTTGACACTTGACTGATGATGTTTATGTCCCTGTAAATAGTAATGGGGACTTCCATTGGGTCTTCACAATCATTGCATTGAAGGAACGGTGCATAAAAGTTTATTATTCGATGTCCTCATCCAGGTCTAAATTAAAATTATCCTCTGAGATTCGAAAATTCTCTACAATGTTGCCAAAGTACCTTGAGTTAAGTGAATTTTTTTAGCAAAACGAACATCCAACTGATAGTTCTTGAATGTTACCAAGGAATGAATAAATCTAATCCCTTACGAAGTCACGCATATAAATGGTATTGCCCAACAAGAAAGTAGTAGTCTTTAAGTATCACATTATTTTTTTTTGTCTTACGACTATCAAAATATGATGTTATTATATTTTCTAATTGATGATATACAACACAGAGATTGTGAACTTTTTATCGCTGCATACACTGATTTTTTAAGTAATGAACTACAGTACCATCTTGTAGACTAAGTGCTGAAACCCATCGCATGAGATATGCTTCACTCCTATGGAATTATAGAATTTTAAAGGTTCGAAAGGGCTATGTTAGTAACAATGAAAACCCACATAGGCCTAGAACTAAAAACGCAAAATTGATGAAGGTTACCACCATCGATTAGATAGGTAGTTATGGATATCATTCATAATTACCTTTTTATTGTTAAAGTGTATAAAACAATTGGTGAAGTGTTAAGTTTTGTTGATAATATAAATATAAATAATTTTTATGAATATTTTGATTTTTGTTAGAATAAATGTCAATTATGATGAAGAGGAAGAGATGTGGTGTTTGTGGCGACATATATAGATTTTGTTGTAAAAAACACAACATATTTATCTGCATGTATACCAACAGAATATATACATGTGACAACATATTTCAACAAAAAGGAGATATATGGTAAGATATATAAAAGAATAAATATATGTGATAAGATATGTCACATTATCATCCTGAATAACAACACTTCAATATTATTGATAATCGAAAACCAAAAAATTGAATAGACTTATTGGTCATCCTTGCACCCACTTTTTATAGATAGTATAGCATATTATTGTTATTGTTATTATTATTATTATTGTTGTTGTAGTTGTTCTTGGTTTTCTTGTTCTTGTTGTTGTAGTTTGGGAAAAAGATCTGAATATATTTGAAATTTGATCGAAATTGTGGTAACAATTTCAAACTTTGGGTAAGACTTGTTACTCCCCTACACTAATTAATAGTGTATTTTAATGATATATAAGTGTTTAGCTGGACATGTTACTATTTATAATAATGCAAGATTTATAATCTTCTTGTGGGCACCAATATATCTTTAAAAAAAACTATTAAATAGTACATGGGGATATAAGTCATGTCCAAAAATTGAAATTTTACAATAGCTTTTGTCAAAGTTCAAATATATTTCAAACAATTTACCCAAAAAATTTACTCATCCATTTCACGATTTATATAGTAATTGTTTCACTTTTAAACAATAGTATTTAACAATTATATTAGTCAACTATTCATTAATTTTCAAGTAATATGTACTTATCACATTATAAGATATACATATAACAAAATTTAATGATGTATACCATTAATAAATTTATTAATTTGACCACTTTAATGACTAACAAACTAGTTTAACTACTATATTGATTAATACATGTTTCTGATTAAGTTAAATTCATCATTAAATAAAATATCTCAAAAAAGAACTTAGGAAAACAAATAATAAGACTTTTAATTTTTGGGAAAATCTAATAGATAACATTTTGACTATTTTAAGAAAATCTAAAGAAAAAAAAATTATTCACAATTTTTTATCTATACATTAATTAGCTTTTCACCAATTTCTCTATTTTTCCCTATAAATAGATTTCTTAAGCTTTTGACTAAACCACACCACCTTTTTCATTGAACCATTTCACATCACTTTTCTAATATGACTTACAGTGATAAGAACCACCGCAGTACAATCCAAAAAAGAAAGAAAATTGATCAAACTCCAATTTTATTCTTTATTCATTCTTTACCCAAAGGAGAAACTTAGAAAACTTAATTTTTTTTTTAGATATTTGAGGTAGTTTTATTTAAAAAATCTCGAGAAAAATGAGTTATCTACGATGAAATCGATTTGGCAAAACGATGTTGAAGAAGGAATAAGGTGATTAAAATACTTATTTTGAAGTTAATCTCCATATTCCTTGTTCAACATCGTTTTGTCACATCAATTGCTTCTACAAGAAGAAACTTGTTCTTTGACGACCATTTCTTAATGAAGGGATCCAAATCCTGTCGTTATAAGTGTATTTATAGAGACCAATTTATTTTCGGGCGAATCACTTAGATATGCTATATAGAGAAAATATTTACCATTTATGACAATAGTTTCTTGTTAAATAAATTTGAGAATTTTAAGGAATTAAAATTGTAAAGCAGTATGACTCATTTATTTCGTGTTTGTGTCTCTTTCTCTACATATGATTTCTCTTTTCTTCTTCTTCTTCAAATTTTTTATTCAAATAACGATCTTCAAATATTATTTCAAAAATGAAAAGAGATAACAATCTATAAGTTTCATATTTTCAAATCGATTTATACATATGTTGCACGATTTTCTCCCAAAATATCACAAGAAAAATAATATAAACACCCAAAAATTGTACAAAATTGTATGTGCAAATTCATATTGAAAATCTATAAAATTACAATAGGAAGAATTCACCATTGATGACCATAAAAAACTTCAACCTTTTTCTATTTATTATTTGGGTTTTAGAAAATTATGATAAGTTTGAATAAGTTGTTCTTCCATATTATTGAAAATAACAATTGGAGTTTATGTCTTAATTATAAGTAAGATTGATTGTGTTTAAAAATAATTTTAGGAGAAAATTCAAATTAAAACTCTTAAGAGATGAAGATTTTGGAACTCTTCTGCAACTATATAAAAATTGAATTAGATTTGTTCCATAATTATATTAAAATTGAATTAAAATAATGGCCTATACTATTATAATACATATTTCAAACATATCCTCTTATTGGTGATACCAATTAGAATAATTTAGGTAATTCACGTATATCCTCTTCTTTGTGATATCAATTAAAATAAATTAGGCAATTCACTTATAATATATTTATAATACAGAAGCAACACATATTTAATACTTACTAAAAATATATGTATTAAAATTGAATTAGATTTGTTTCATGATTGTATTAAAATTGAATCAAAATCATGAACTATACTTTTATAATACATATTCAAAATATATCTTGTTCTTCGTGATACCAATTAGAATAATTTAGGTAATTCACATGTATCCTCTTCTTTGTGATTTCAATTAGAATAGTTTAGGTAATGCACTTAGAATATATTTATACTATAGGAATACCGTATATTTAATACATATTACAAATATCACCTATTTCATGATAATATTAATCAAAATAATATATACAACTCATATAATACATGTTATATATGTTCACAAAGATATGTTTAATTCATTTTGTAGATAATTCTCTTGTTTTTCGTTGATTATGGTTCTCATCCATTCTTGATTCTCTATTCTAATTAAACTTGAATATTGTGTAATACAATTTTAATACAAATTTAATTCATCTTGCAGTTTTTTTATTTATTTGTTTCTATTTGATACTAGTTTAATTCATTATTGGTATAAGTTTAATTCACCATATAAATTAATGTCTGTTCTTTATTGAGTTATTTTTTATTCATATTTAATTATTTTCTTCTAATTCAACTTTAATGTATGCGTAATACATTTTCAAAGATAAGTTTAATTTTATTTCTAAATTTATTGGTTGATATGTTACGATTGAATCACTTGGTTAATTTATTATTGATAAAAGTTTTATTCAGTTTACAAATAGAAGAATGTTTATTTTTTCATTTTCAACATTTGACATTCATGTTCTTCTTTTTCAACTTTAACATGGATTTATTACACTTATACTTCAATATAATTCATTGGAAGTTTATTATGTGTCTCATTTTTTAAGACTAGATATCTGGTATAATTAATTATTGATGTACATTTTATTCAATCTAAGATCATCTATTTTTCTACGAAAAAAGTAGAGAGAAAAAGAGAAAAAAGAGCAACATAAATTGACGGAGAAAGAGAAACAAAAAAGGAATCGTGGGAAAACTAGAGATGTAGAAAGTTAGATAGAAACAGAGGGAGAAAGAGTGAGAAATTAAAAAAAGCGAGAGACGGTGAAAAGTGACAAATTTAAAAGCCGATAGAGAAAACAAAATCAAATAAAACATATAGTGTTGTTATATAATGTTACAAATTGTAATAATTTAATAATATATTTAAAATAAGAAATTATTTTTGAAAAGAGATCAACTCAATTAATTAATCCTTTTATTTTCAGAGGTTGAAGCTTATTTTTGTTACAAAATTAACTGTACATTAATATTT